GGAGCCCTATATGAATAAGGCTTCTCCTCTTACACATTTTGGATAGCTGGGCTGTAGGCCCACCCGATAGACCATTTGGGGGCGGGTGAGTCCTGCTGGGTGAGTGTGGCCACCACACTCACTCATCCCTCTCCACTTGTCCCTGCCAGCGAGCCCCATGCCCGCTTCTACGCCGCCCAGATCGTCCTGACCTTCGAGTATCTGCACTCGCTCGATCTCATCTACCGGGACCTGAAGCCAGAGAACCTTCTCATCGACCAGCAGGGCTACATTCAGGTACCCGCTGGGCCAGGCAAGGGACAGCCCCAGGTGTCCATGGCCTGGACCCTCCCTCGCTCTCGACCAACCCCACTCTTGTGCCCACAGGTGACAGACTTTGGTTTCGCCAAGCGTGTGAAAGGCCGCACCTGGACCTTGTGCGGGACCCCCGAGTACCTGGCCCCTGAGATCATCCTGAGCAAAGTAGGCTCCTCCCCACCCCTCCCCCTGTCCCTGAGGCCCACTCCGCCTGTGCCCCCTCTTCACCCTTCTTCCCTCATCCTGCACCCCCTTTCCACCCCAGGGCTACAACAAGGCTGTGGACTGGTGGGCCCTGGGGGTTCTCATCTACGAGATGGCTGCTGGCTACCCCCCCTTCTTCGCTGACCAGCCCATTCAGATCTACGAGAAGATTGTTTCTGGGAAGGTGAGGCCTGGACACAGGGATTCTGCCCAGGACAAACCCTTCTCCCCCGCTCCCCCACCATCATTGTAAGAACAATCTAGAAGTTCATTAAGTCAGGCCAGGCAGTGACATTGGGTGTATCAGCCACGCTAACTGAAGTCAACACCCCACACAACCTCACTGGCTACTCCTGGGCCCACAGTGCCAACCTCCCAAGGGCATCTAAAACCCCAAGCCTCATCTGCACCCCTACCCTGCCCTATGTGAGGCTCTGCTTGTTCCTAATAATCCCCCTTCTGTGAATTTTCACAAGTTTCACAGCAGGAAAGCTAATGTATTTGGTTCCCAGACCCCACTGGGCAGTCATTTGGGGTGTATGGCCCATGCCTCCCTTCTCAAATACAGAATTCCTACCTCAGTGGATGCAGGTAAGGGCACTGTTAGAGTTAACATCTACCGAGTGCATTAAGCACCCACTCCATCCTACCCAGCACTCCGAGGGACTGAGGACGCTGAGGCATGGAGAGGAGGGGATATGTCTGGTCCGAGATCCAAGGGCTCCAGAGAGGCTGGGAACCTCACTTTTGTCTTTAGCTCACTCACCTTTCTGGGAGGACCAACCATCCCTCCACCCAGACCAGGAATTGGTGGAAGCAACTCGCAGCTCAGCCCGGGTGGGTTGACCCGTCTCCAGGTCCCAGTTCTGCCACCCCTTGGCTTTGAAATCTCAGGCAAGTGGCTTTCCTCCTCTGAGCCTCGTCTTACCCACCTGAGAACTGAGGAACCAGCCAGCTGCTTCTCAGGGAGGTTGAGAGAAATCACCAGCTGCAAAGTGGGGTCCTAGAATAGGAAAAGATGAGGTGTCTGCCACCAGGCACAAGGGAAAGTGCCAAGGGAATGACCCGAAGTGGGAAACAAAGAAGAAGTCGTAGAATGTGCCACGAGGGACGAGGAGAAGAGCAGAACTCCCTTTTTTGTAGCATTTCACAGTTCCCACGCACCCTCAGCAGTATTATCTCCCTCATGCAACCCTGGGATATCTGCCCCGTGCCGGAAAGGCAGGCACAGTCCCAGAGAGGTTAAAGGCCATGGCCAAGGTCACAGCCTGTAAGAGGGAGAGCAGTGCTGGAAATCTGTTCTTGTAGCTGTAAATCCAATGAATAGTTGCATACGAGGCCCTGGGTTCTGAGCATTTAGGGAAAGTTTCTCGAAGATTTGAACTGAGCCTTAAAGAATAGAAGAGCCTTAGCTATGCAGAGCAAGAAATAGAAAAACAGTTGTTTCTCTCAAATGTGGATATTTCTGAAGTCCCAAGACTTAAGCAGAGCCACCTGAGGAAGTAATGGCTAAAACTGCAAGGTCTGGAGTGTGTCAGCCCCACGATGGAGCCAACCTGTCCCAACCTTCTGTGTGACCTTGGGCAGGCTGTTTAACCCTTTCAAGCCTCCGTTTCTTCTTCTCTAACATGGGACCATCATAACATTTAACTTGAAGCACCAGATCTCAAAGTGGTCCCCTCTCCAGCACCATCAGGGAACTAGCTAGAAATGCAGGCTCTCGTGCCCCAACCCAGACCTTCTGAATCAGAAACGCCAACAGGCCTAATTAACTGTTTTAATGGGATTCCAACACACACTCAAGTGCCCCAAAGGACTGTTGGGTGGTGAAGGCAGTGTTTTGTGGTCCCCAAGCCCCAGGCCAGTTTCCCACCCTGTCTGTGCCCTCCCCCCCCTCCCCCCACTTCTACCGCAGGTGCGGTTCCCATCCCACTTCAGCTCCGACCTGAAGGATCTGCTGCGGAACCTCCTTCAGGTAGACCTTACCAAGCGCTATGGGAACCTCAAGAATGGGGTCAATGACATCAAGAACCACAAGTGGTTTGCCACGACTGACTGGATTGCCATCTACCAGAGGAAGGTGGGTGTCCCGTCCTCTCCCCGGATATGCTGAAGGCTTTGGGGGCAGGCCAAGAGCCAGGGTGGGCTGCCAGTGGAGAGATGGAAAGGGAAGAATTTGAAAATAGGCCATGGCCCTAGGTCATTCTAGCTGGGGCAGTTTAGTGCAATGGAGGTCTAAAAATGGGATTATAGGGTCACTTGGCCACTGTGACCTTGAGCAAGAGACACCCCTGTCTGGAAAGTCATTTCCCCATTGGTGAGTTGGCTATACAGTGGAACCTTGTTTCTCGAACTTTGTCCGTTCTGGAAGGCTGTTCGAAAACGGAATAATTTCTTCACATTAGAAAGAATGTAAATTGAATCAACCAGTCCAGAACCCCAAATGATTCCTTGTTTTAGCTTTTCTTATATACAGTACGTGTCTATTGTACTGTTTAATCTATAACTAAACATTTTAAGAATAAAAATGACATGAAAATTTAAAAAAAGGCAGTGTACAGTAAAAAATGAAAATTTAACAATCATTATAAGCAACACAAGCAAAAAATAACGAGAATATTCACAGCACAATATCCTGAGATTTTAACAGTAGTAAACTGACTCATATTCGCACATTCTCTTCTTTGTCACCTGAGAGATGCGTGACTGATCATACCGGTATCAGCATGAAAGGGTTGTCAGGTTGAGGAGCAAATTGTTCAAATTGTTCAAATTGTTCGAGATGGGAGGCTTTGGAGAAACTGAGGGTCCACTGTAATAAGATTCTTGGGTTGTTAAGGTGAGTTCACACCCTAATGCTAAGCTCTGGCCTGAGTCTCAGTAAGTTATCATAAATGTTAGGCCATTCGTATTTATTGTTTTAACAAGGATTATGTTGACTGCTGTGGTCTGGGTGATTCTTGACCCCTCTCCAGGTGGAAGCTCCCTTCATACCAAAGTTTAAAGGCCCTGGGGACACGAGTAATTTTGATGACTATGAAGAGGAAGAGATCCGAGTCTCCATCAATGAGAAGTGTGGCAAGGAGTTTTCTGAGTTTTAGGGGTGTGCCTGTGCCCCCAAGGGTTTTCTTTCTCTTTTTTTTTTTGTGGGGAGA